CGGAGCCGTGACTCAGATGAAGGCAGCACAGAAGCCCACGCGCTCCCCAGACATCCCAGAGCAGAGCCAGCGAAACCGAAGGGGGACTCGGCCGTGGTCTGCTCCCCGCCTGCGCGAGGCAGCGACGCCGAGGGGGTCCCCTCTGCCGGGGCTCACCCATCCCAAGGGAAGCCTCAGGGACAGCTCCTACATGATAGCGAAGAAGGTGACATTCTCTTTGCTTTATTAAAGCACAAGTAGACAAGAAAACACAGAAGACAACACAAAGTACAAAGATATATGGCAGGACCTGGACTTTGGTATTTCTTAAGTCTCTTTTTTCCCCAGTTCCTGCAGCAGCCCATGAAAATGAACAAGGAACCAGTGTCAGCTCTCCCCAGCCAATACACACACAGGTGCTCGGGATCCTGGCTCCCGATCCTCCGGTCATCCCTCTAATATCATAAAAAGTCAATTTTTGAGTAAAAAAGTTGCAGAAGTTTACTTTGATGCTGAAAAGACAGAAAATGCAGACCCAGTGCCCACCCCCCCGCGTGCCCGGGGGCTCTGGGGCACCCGCCGACACTGGCAGCCTGATGGCTCCCCCCCCCCCCCGCCCCGCGCGAGCTCCCGCTCCCTCCCCAAAGCGCAGGCGGTTGCAGAGGCATCACACACGCGAGGCACACACGCCTGGCACACGGCACACGCCTGGCACACGGCACACGGGCAGCATCCCCTTCTAAACTGTTCTTCACCCGCACTGTGCATCCGCCAGCGCATCGGTGTGTGCAAATCCCTAGCAAGTTTGATTTCTTCCCAGTCTCCCAGCAGGAAAGTACCCAGCAGGATACCTCCGCTCATTAACTACGGAAAACTTTACTGACATGAGCTTGTGCAAAATCCAAAGCTCTCCAAAGGAGCTATTCGGATGGCTCACAAACATCCTCCTGCTGCTGACAGCGATCAGGGCGTCACCCACCCAGCTCTTCATCGTATTCTTCTGCTAGTAGCCACAAAGCCTTCAACAAGAGAAGAATGCACCAGCAGGATTTTTTTACCAGTTCATATGCATACACTGGTAAATCATATCAACATTTAAAACACTCGCAGCCCTCTAAAACAGGAAAAGGTGCAGAGAACAGTCCCGTTGGCTGGCACTCAGGACAGTGATCTATGGATTCTGTTGCTGCCTACATGAAGGGATTTCAGGAGGAAGAGCACGATCAGAGCCATATCTAGCAGGGGAGGAAAAGCCTTTACAAATAACTGTACAGAGAGATCCTCCCCTTCGACAGTTTGGGGTTTTTTCCCTACCCCTTCCCTTAATGAAAATCCCATGGCATGACTGAAAAGCATCAGGAAAATTGTTTGTTCTTGCTGAGAGTTTGAAAGAAGCCCGACGTTCCCGGAGGGCGTTTGCCCGAGGAGCTGATGGTGACACTCGGCTCACGAGCGACCAGAGCAGCGGAGGCATCAGCGCTGCCCTCTGCACGACGCGTGCGCGGCATCGGTCGGCCCGAACCTCATTCCCTTCACTTCAAAGCCTCCCAACGAACACGAGTAGCTGGCATCAGGTGGGGGAACGCAGCGCAGCCTGGCATCGGGGTCACCTCTCCGGACTCCGGCATTTGCTTCGTGCTTGTGGCATCTCTGCACTGGAGGGTGACACCGGCGCTCTGGCTGGGCCCAGCTCTGCCACCAGCTCCCCTCCGCACCGCAGCGGCGAAACCCCCGCCCGGCAACGCGTGGATCTGCCGTTTGCCTGCGCCGGCACCAGGACCCCTGGTAGGTGTCTCTGTCGGTGAAGCCAGACTGTGTCGCAGCCCCCGGTGAGAAGCACCGCCCTGGCAAGAGCCTGTACGTGCCACACTCGCCGACACCGCCGGCCAGGTCTGACCGGGGTTTTGGTGG